CAGCCCACAGAATGGGAGAAAATATTTGCAAATGAAGCAACTGACAAAGGATTAATCTCCAAAATTTACAAGCAGCTCATACAGCTCAATATCAAAAAAACAAACAACCCAATCCAAAAATGGGCAGAAGACCTAAATAGACATTTCTTCAAAGAAGATATACAGATTGCCAACAAACACATGAAAGGATGCTCAACATCACTAATCATTAGAGAAATGCAAATCAAAACTACAATGAGGTATCACCTCACACCAGTCAGAATGGCCATCATCAAAAAATCTAGAAACAATAAATGCTGGAGAGGGTGTGGAGAAAAGGGAACCCTCTTCCACTGTTGGTGGAAATGTAAATTGATACAGCCACTGTGGAGAACAGTATGGACATTCCTTAAAACACTAAAAATAGAACTACCATACGACCCAGCAATCCCACTACTGGGCATATACCCAGAGAAAACAATAATTCAAAAAGAGTCATGTACCACAATGTTCATTGCAGCTCTATTTACAATCGCCAGGACATGGGAGCAACCTAAGTGTCCATCGACAGATGAATGGATAAAGAAGATGTGGCACATATATACAATGGAATATTACTCAGCCATAAAAAGAAATGAAACTGAGTTATCTGTAGTGAGGTGGATGGATCTAGAGTCTGTCATATAGAGTGAAGTAAGTCTGAAAGAGAAAAACAAATACCATATGCTAACACATATATATGGAATCTAAAAAAAAAAAAAAGGGTTCTGAAGAACCTAGGGGCAGGACAGGAATGAAGACGCAGACGTAGAGAATGGACTTCAGGACACGGGGAGAGGGAAGGGTAAGCTGGGACGAAGTGAGAGTGGCATGGACTTATATACACTACCAAATGTAAAACAGATAGCTAGTGGAAACAGTCGCATAGCACAGGGAGGTCAGCTCCGTGTTTTGTGACCACCTAGAGGGGTGGGATAGGGAGTGAGGGAGGGAGGGAGGGAGACGCAAGAGGGAGGAGATATGGGGATATGTGTATATTTACAGCTGATTCACTTTGTTATAAAGCAGAAACTAACAAACCATTGTAAAGCAATTGTACTCCAATAAAGATGTTAAAAAAGTAATAAAATAAAATATTAAAGACAGACTTTCCCACAATCTTATCTAAAAATATAAATACTTTGGGTTTTATTTAGTCCATCACATTTGTACTTGATTCTAAACCATTCCAGGGTTAAAACCTTGTTTTGTAAGGAAATAATTTGTTTTAATATGGAACCCAAACCAGACAATGGGTACCATCTTCTCACTTCTCTCCCCAAGATTCCAATTACTAGTCACCTAATTCTCAAAACCTCTTTGATTCTTCCATCTCCCACACAGGCTGCCTTGCCAACCCACCCAAATCAGCAAATCTAGTCACTGTTTAATCCTATTCTGAATTCTCTGTACACCCTTCCCTGATGACAGTCATCGCTCACAGGTGTACAGAGGACCTGCAAATGGATTCTGCATCAACACCCCCCTTCAGACTTGGTAACAGGTGGCAGATGAATAGGGAAAGGTCACAGAAATAGATGAAGAACCAGAGGGGGAGAAATGTAATAGTATAACAGAAGTCAAAGAAAAGAGAGAATTCCCATAAGGAAGGCATCATCAATAACAGTAGTTAAGGGGATGAAATAGGACCATTAGATTTGATGGTCATACATTTAAATTTAAGATGCAAATTCCATCAGCGAAATTGTCATGTCATGATGTGCATAGACGACAAAGAGAGATATATGAAGAGTGAGCTAGAAGTGAGAAATGGGAATTGCAGTTAAAGGCAGCAACAACCCAGAATTCTTTAAGACCTTTTAACTTAACTTAGTATTTTAATAAGGGAAACACAGAGAGAGAGTGAGAGAGAGTGAGAGGGAGGGAGGGAGGGAGGGATGGACAGAGGGATGGAGGGATAGCTAAAAAGTGGAAGAATAACGCTCAAAGGAACAGACATTTGTTCTGTATTTTAATTATAAAAGAAAAGATCTGAGTGTGTTTACTGAGGAGAGAGTTGACTCCTTTTTGTGGGGGAGGGTTGGAGCGCTAAGAGTTTGAAGATTTGGGATGGAGACAGGATTAACTGGTGAGGCAGTGTGCCAGGGTACTGGTCTAAAAGGAAAGGAGTCCCCATTAAAATGCTGACCTTGAACAGGAAAAGGAACACCTTATCCTCTGAGAATGGAGGGAATGAGGAAAGGATTGATACAGAGGGAGATAGGTGTGGGTGTAGGCAGGGCAGGAAGTAGAGGCAGTCCAGCTGAACTGCCTGAATCTGGTCCACCCGGCCAGCCTGAACCAGCCTGGCAAGGACTCAGCACACAGTTCCCGGGAACAGAAGGAATCTGGGCTGGGATGATGACAGCTCCAGAAATGGCCCAAACAGAGCCATCAGAGGCCTTCCCAATAAGGTAGCGATTCACATGGATCACAGGTGACAGAAGGAATCTAGAGGTTTCTATTGAACTCGGACTTCTCAGGTAAAGCAGATGAGACCAGAGATTAAGACATGCTCAAGAGCAGTTACTTGGTGGCTCTCAGACTACAAACTGGGTTTCTTGGCTTATGCCTCCCTCCGCCTTTAGAAAAATATACACAGCCAGTTTTCTCCACCTCTTTCCCTGGCTAACTTTCCCTCATTCTTCTGCTTTGCACACATCACTTTCTCTGAAAGCCTTCCCTGGACTCTCCCCCTTCCCCTAAAGCAGATGCCATAAAAGCTGTTCTACGTCCCTTTTACTTTTTCTTTGTTGCACCTAGTTGCACAAGTTGAAATTCTAGTTTTATTTACATGCTTATTTAATGTTCCTCTTTCCCAGCAGATATTATAAGCCACATGGGGACAGGGACTCTTATTTGTTCGCGTCTGTTTCCTGGTCAGCACACAGCTCAAAGCCTAGTATGGAGTTAGTGTCCAATAAATATGATGAATGAATTTATATTCCGAGTATATGGTGTAGGAGTATAGTATTCAAGAATTTTATTTGCAAATTAAAGTTCTGCATTTGTGAAAAAATGTCCACTGTGGGGTGGCAAGAAGGCTGATTTATATTTTCCCTGTAGGTCGGGCATATGGGAAATGCTCAATACATATTTGTTGACTGAATAAGAATTTCTGCACTACTGGAATTTTCATTACTTTAAGAAAAACAACAACGACAGTATAGCTTGCCTCCGAGCCACTGAAACCAAAGATACTACCTAAACATTAAAAAACAAAAAACTATTTTAACAAGTAAATTAAGATTTTCCAAACAATGTTATTTATTAGAGTTCATCAGAACTTTGTTAATAACCAGTTTATGATGAAAATACTGATCACATAATTAAGGTAGCTTCTGGGATAATATATAACTAGAAAACTCAGTGTTTAATTCCTAAAGTTTCACACTTTTGGAGTGTCTCAGAGACATCTTCTCTTATGATACTAAATGAACCTGAACTTACAGATTTTTAGGACAGAAATTCATGCATTTGCAAACATTTAAAAATAAAAGTCATCACCAATGAATTGCCTACCACCTTTCTCAGGAAATTCATGAACACATGCATGAAGATTAGCACCACACAGTAGGCAAATATTTTTCCATGTCCCACCCAAAGCAAACAAATGAAAATAGAAACTGCAAGGACAATTATAAGATATCTCTAAATTTAAAGACACAGCATCTTTTTCTCCTTTGGCTTTCCTCTATACTTTTATCAGGAATAAATAGTCCTTAATCAGTTGCAACTGAGAAGTTCTAGCAGGAAAACATTTCTGCTCTTTTGATTGTGAGGTAGTTAACTTTTGTCTTACATTTCTTTACTTTCAAACCTTTATAAAGCAAAAGCAAAAAAAAACATGGAAAGCACTCAAATGTTTGTTGATTATAGATATTAAGAGATATTAGCGAATCTACGTGGTCTAGCCCTTAATTATACCTACAGACCCTTAGATTCTAATTCTTTCATGGAACTTTTAATTTCCCAAAGAGGCTATTATCCCTGTTAATAATTAAAATGTTTCAATGTTTAGGCATACACAGTGTCACAGTGTTGGCATAAAAATACTTTGTCATAGTCATTTGGGCAAGTTATGGGGAACGTGGCATAAAAATGCTTTATCATGGTTATTTGGGCAAGTTAAGGGGAATACGAATTCTTGAGTTTTCAGGGAAGACTGATTTCAAATAGTCTATCCTGTGTTCATCCAAAGTGTTTTGCATTTTACTAGAAGATTCGGTTAACTGTATCTCATACCAAAATTACTGGCAGATAGATGATGGCTTGGACTGACCATAGTGGAACAATGAGAAATGTAACTTTTTCCAGATATTTCTGAAGGCACTCACACAGTCCACGGTTGGGTTATGTATTGCTAATAACCCCTCTAGGGCTCAGCTATCCTGTCATCTTGGAATTTTCTGACTCTTAAGATCTGTTGAGTTCACTCACATTCCTTCCTGTTCTATTTGCAGTGGAGGTCTGTGGAAGGTTATACATTCTCCCCTTGCCTATACTCTCAGCCTTTACATGTATTCCTAGTATTCAGGAAGCTAAATTTCTGCACTTGTGAAAAGGAAAAAGTGAGCTTACTGAAAGGCAGACATATAGTTGACCAAGGGGAAATAATTATTAGTACTTTAAATTTATCCTTACTTTCATTACATCAAAATACTAACTTGCTTAAACACAATTTAAAGGTACATCACAGTTGTGACTCTTAACAATTTTTCCTTTTCCCCAATTTTAAGATGAAATGTACAAATGCATTATATGGATACCTTAAATCCTTAAAGCATTGTGAACCCACACAAGACTAGCAATAGGAGAAAGAAAAAGTGGTTTGAAAGAGTTTAAAACTAAGCTTTATATAAACGTGTGTGTGTGTAGAGTCTAAAAAACTAAAACAGATGCTAACTTGAAAAATGGCAACGTTTAAGATATGGAAAATACTGAGTTGAAATAAAGCAATAAAACAATGGAAACAAGCTCACCAAATTTGCAAAACGGGAGCAGAAGAGTTTCCGAAAGATAGCGATCCATTTAGGTGATGAACATCAGATGCCAAGTGTAGTTCAGTATAAACAAAAGTATTCTGATTAGCTTCAGGGGAGAAAGAGAAAAGAACTGGGTACCAAAGGTGGAAAAGCCAAATAGCCCTGAACAGACTGGGGCACGTGGCTCCCTAATTGCCCCTGGGTAACTCCAGGTCTAAGGACAAGGTAGACCTCTATTCTCCTTTCTGTCCGTGAACTGCCGTCTGCAAGTGTTCAGTTCTTTGGGCCACCACCATGTGAGAGTGAACAACCTGAAACATTGCTCTTGGGCCCCAAATCGGGATGAGTTCCTCTAAGATAAGAGACAGTCCCCAAAACACACTCTGTGAAAAGGGGCTATGAGAGTTGTAGGAAGCGAGCATTCTGAAGACAGCTGTGAGAAATCATCACAACTTCATCAACAAATGAAAAGTATCCTTCAGGAACCATACCATTTCCTTCAGGAAGTTCAGGATATCGGTGTATTGTTGACCCTTACTTAAATCCAAAGTCCATTTCCCCAGCATAACCAATTAGGCATTGCAGCGGGGAGCCTATTCTTACTCTGGGTGGGGCGGGGGGAGATGGGGTCGGGCGGGCAGCTTGCTCTGTGTTGAGCGCCAGTGTGGGAGTCTTTCTCCTGCCCTGATTTTAGTCCCGCCTCTAGGATCTGAAGTCTAAACAGTCCATTGAGTGCTTTAATGAGTGTTTTACAGTCTGTGGAACACTCTCCGAGTCTGAGCGCATCGTTTATGGCAGGAGACAGATTTATTTACTGGACAGTCCAATAAAAGCCAAGGTATTCATAGACACAGCGCTTGCTAGAGGACACTTCCCTTGCTGTAGTCTAAAGAATTCCAGACTCTGAGTTGGTACAATCCCAGGGTTCTAGTCTTGGCCCTATGACTAATTTAGGGTTATATGACTTCAGCTAAGCCCTTAACCTCTCTGGGCCTCCATGTCCACATCTGTGAAATGGAGGCGCTAAACTAAATGACCTCTAAGGCCCTTTTTGAATCTAACATTCTGGAATGACTGTGGACTGTGTGTTTAAAAGAGGGAGTAATCATGTTGGGATAGAATGATCAGGAGTTTTCATGAGAGAAGTAGGGTGGTTTGCTCATCTTCTGCAAAATCTGATTTCTCAGTTGCAAAAATCCACAGTATAGATTGCACATGGCCCTGGTAATCTCTGCCGCACAGATAACCACTGCTAGGAATTTTTTCTTCTGGATAGTATAAGTGCTAATTATAATTGTTACTACTGCCATGTTAAGTGCCAATTATAATCACTACTAACTGTATTAAAATGGAACACTAAATGCATGTTTCTTTAACAAATTAAAAAAATTAAGATTGTATCCTGGATATCTTTCCACCATGTCGTCACATATATATCTCATTTCTTTCTTCATCAGTGCAGAGTACTGCATTGTATCTATAAAGTGTACTTCATTTAACCAGTGTATACTGACAACAGATACACTGTTTTTCTTTTTGATCACAAACAACACTTCAACAAAATTCCTTTGTATACTCAGCCCCAAAATTCAATCTTGGCACCTCCTCCCTCACTTCCCACTTCCCACTTCCAATCCACCACCAGGTCCTGGTGATTTCACCTAATATCTCAGGAACCCAGCCACTTCTCTCTGTTGAATTACCTCCACCTTATTCAAGTGGAGATTCAACAACATCTAACGCAACAGCCCCTTACTTGGTCTCCTCTCTCCCCATGTCTTCCTTCCAGTTTCCCAACTTGCAGCCAGAGATGCAAATCTTATTTCCCAGTTTATGACCTTCAATAGCCGCTCTCTGTTCCCCAGATAAAGACCACTGCCTCATAATGGTTCTATTGTCTATAATGCATAGACAGTCTGGAATTTATGAGTGTGTTTTTCATCTGCACTCTAGGATGTAGATTAAATCAGTTATCCCAGTCAGGAATACACACTTCAGAGATGGTTAGTAAGAATGTTATCAGAAGGCTATAATCCAGAGGTGGTCTCTATAGGTATGTTAGCTTTCTTACCTCCAATCAACAAAAAGGACTTGATTAATTAGCAAATAAATGTTAGAAGTTATTTTTCCTTGGTAAAATCAGTTTTGTGTAGGATGTGTGGATTAGCTAGAAACAGCGTCAAGGCACCCCACTCTTGCACCAAATGGTACACGGTGGTGATGCAGTACCTGTGCCCTTCCCAGCGGTTCCTGGGACATGTTTGTGAAAAATGCCTTGTCTAGTCCTTGTTGCTCAATTACACCCTTAGGTTAGCTGAACCCTGCCTCAAGAGGAGTGTCCCCGTCCATTTACAATGCGTGGTGTCAGTTTATTTATCTCTTGTAAAAATAAAATACAGTGTGTGTGAAAAAAAAATGAATACAGTAAAAAAAAAAAAAAAAAAAAAGGAGTGACCCATTTGCCTCTAATGAACTTTCCATGAAAGATCTACTTGGAGAAATGAAAAGAACACAACGGGGGACTTCACCAAGCTTACAAAACAGGCTGCACAATGATTTCGATTCCTGCTTACTAATCGATGTTACAATGTGAGGCTAGATTGGGCCTGAGATCAGCTTTGGGACCAAGTGTGAGGCTGTGGGGAAGGAGACCAGTACCCTCAGCCACCTCTAAATACTGGAGGTTTCAACATCCACCAAAAAAATCCTACATCAGTAAGAAGGATCAGATTGGCTGAGGTCAGATTATAGCAGGTAGCTTACGAGACCCCACACGATATACCTTCTGCCACCTCTCCTGGTACTCGTCATGCTCAGGACACCTCCCAGAACACGCCCACCCCGAGACCTGTGAGTGCGTGCTGTGCCTTCCCACCCGACGACCCCCTTTGCTCAGTCAGATCGCTCTCAGCCTTTGCAGCTGGGTGGGACGGCCCTTCCTGCCTCTCAGTCCAGGTCACACTCCCATCCCCCCCACCACAGTGCCGAGGTGTCCCTCCCTGCGGTCCCTATGGGAATGGAGGGTGATACGTCCGCATACTGACTGCACTGAGCCCTACGGGGACTGTGTCCAGGCCTGTATGAATTACCTTTGTGTCCCCACCGCCTGGCGCAGCCTCTGTGGACATTTGTTCAATAGACAGCATTTAGATTTTAGTCTCCACAGCATCAGTATTAAAAAAAGAAAAAAAAAGCTCTTTATGGCACTAGGTTCACTAAGTGCCGTGGGCCTTCCATGATGAAAACGCTTTACAATATTTTTTTAAAAATCCAACCACAATCCAATCCAACTCACAAAGTGAAGGATGAAGAATATTATAATATACAAAGGTGAAGCAATGACCCTTTCTTTTATTTTTTTGCGGTACGCGGGCCCCTCACTGTTGTGGCCTCTCCCGTTGCGGACGGAGCACAGGCTCCGGACGCGCAGGCTCAGCGGCCATGGCTCACGGGCCCAGCTGCTCCGCGGCACGTGGGATCTTCCCGGACCTGGGCACGAACCCGTGTCTCCCGCATCGGCAGGCGGACTCTCAACCACTGCGCCACCAGGGAAGCCCGACCCTTTCTTTTAAATACTATACACGCCAACTTAGTTCTGTTGAAAACCCTTCATGGACAGGAGGACCAGACGAGAGCCCCCTTCCTCATCACTCACTTGTGCATATTTCATAGTTTCCTTTCATCTCAACACTTAAGAGCAGCATTATTTTGCTATGCAAATAAGTTCTGCTTTCTCAAAGAACTCCATTTTTACTTTGTTTCCACACGTCAAGTCCTTGGCATCCTCCCTACTTCCCACTAACACAAACATGGAATACATTTCAGCCCAACCTTCTTTACATGTCTGAGGTCCGGGGAGGATTTATAACTACCCTTGGACAGATATTTAAGGAGACCATTTCATAGTAAGGAAAGTTATATATCTAGTTAGAAATTCCAGGGACATCCCATGTGTTTAATTTTGAAGTTTCCTGTTGTATTTCGTGTGGCTTTTATCCAAGGTAAAGATGAGGTGAGCTGGGAGGAGAAATGCGCTGACTGCACACCTCCCCTACCCCGACCCTTCCTTGCATCCTGTACCCCCCAGTGCTGCTCTGGTCCAAACCTCTCATTTTACGTTCGAGAAAACTGAAGGCTACGGAGGCTGAGAATCAGATTTATTAAGCATTTACTAAGTGCAGACGCATGCAGCTTTACAGGTAAGAAGCTGAAACCCAGGGAGGTTTCGGGAAATATCTGACGTCCCGTAACAAATGGCAGAGTCAGGACTCAAAGCTGTTGGGAGTCTAGCCCTCATTCCCATCTCTTCTGGGAGAGCCAGGCCTGACTCCAAAGAGGTCACGTTTTTCTTCCTGAAGACTCACTCGAGAAGCACCGTTGACTGGCTGGTTTAGTGATGGAAGAAAGTACACCACCACCCTTGGTTTCTTTTAAGAGCTCCCACAGACTAAACAGATGGTAAGCACCTGCAAACAGAGTGAGTAAAGACATGCAATGGGACCAAACATGCATAGGACACAGTCATCTGTGACTGACAGGATGATTCTGACGAGTTCTGTGTCTCACCCAGTCACACCTGCCAGTGGAGCCCTGCAAGGTGCTGGGGTGGCAAATTCTGGAGATTTCGTTTGTTTGCTTGTTTTGCTTTTTCTTTGTCTAATTAACTCGTACAGAACTATCGCCAGTCCAGGGCTGTAATTTCAGTAATTTTGTTTTCTCTAAAGCTACTTTAGCTTTTTGTTTTTATTTTTGGTTACATACAGGTCACACTCCTTTTGCCCCATTAAACCTTTGACTGTAGGCAGGGTGTTACAAAAACAATCCTCTAGCTCTCTCCACGCTAGTGGGCTGTGACTCTTCCACACACTCCTCTGTTTTTGGGATCCCTCCCCAGAGTCACAATTTCGCCTGTGCTTCAGCACCAGGAAACACTTGTCTTTTAGCTTTGAAAAGAGAAAGCATTGCGTCAGTAATAGAGACTGAACTCATTTTGTGGAGGAGGGATCAGGCCTCCATCTGCGGTCTTCTGGAGCTGGACCTCCGCCTGGGTTGCAGTGTCTCTCTGAAGCTCGTATCATATCCACTCCTAGAACACTTGGCTTCCTT